AGAATGACACCAATAAGCACCGCCATTAAAGGATTTTAGATTAGTTTTTCTGTTGTGGTGATGAATGGCGAAGATGGGTGATTGTGGTGGTGACCGAATGTGGTGTTTGCTTTGAAGATGGACGGGTTGATGGGGAGTGGATGATGTTGATTGAAAAAGATGGTATAATGTAATGATAAATCGTATTAAAAACGTTTAATGGTAAATAATACAAAAAAAATATTAATCTTTAATATCTAGTCAAAATGATAGGTTTTGAACGGTTTAAATGAATTTAATAATAGTAGCTCATGTTTTTTTTTTTTTTTTTTTAAAATTAAGTGATTATTTACAAACATAATAATTTATTACCCTTAAAATTATTTTCCTATTCTTAAATGTTAACATATTTTAAATTTTGGTGTGATATAAAAATGTAAAGAGAAAAGGGAGACGGTGATCGCAATAATAACCACAAACGCACCATGAGAGGTGGACATGATAATGTACGACACACGTACCACTCCACTTATTATAAATTCATTAATAATATAAAAAGATCAAATATATAATAATACGAGATTTTACTTATTGCGCGTTTTATTACCTAAAACTAAAATTATAATGCAATAGTTATATATACCATATGTTTTTGATTTTGATAATTATGAATTTTTATTTAAAACAAAAATACAAATAAAATCATCCAACAAACCTAAAAAATCCCATTAAAAATGTGGTATAGCGAGGGAAGATGTTGGCAGTTCTCTCTCGGCAAGGTGAGAACAACTGTCATATATAGAATGACTGTGTCATAAAAATGACCTCCGGTATGTGCCTCGCAAAGATGAAACAAAAGTACAAACTAAACTTAAAATAAATTTTTTTTTTCAAAAGAAACACTAAAAACATATATTCAGTCTTTTATAATCTCTTCACTCAAAAACGTCAATTATTTTATTTAATTTTTTAAAGAATCATTAAAGTGTAACAAAATGAAATTCTTTGCTATTTTAGCTTTTTTTTTCTTTTAAAAATTACTAGATCAGTTTAATTTTTAACAAGTGAATACACCAAAATAGTAATATTTTTGTTATTCATGACGTTATATTGATTGCCGAAGCAGCCAAATGCAGTGTACGGAGCTGTACGGTGTCGGCGGAGTTTATATGATCCTATATTCCTGTGACGTCAAGAATTAGGTAGAGACGAAAGTTAAAGAATTTGTAATTTTCTAAATATACAATCAATGTATACAAGATTATCATATTTGGCCCCCGAATACTAAACATCTTAGTTTTATACCACAAACTACATAAGAATGTTTCTATTGCACAACTTTAAGTAACATCTTTTTTCATGCTTTAATTCTTATTTTATGTTTTTTTGACATCATATAAATGTCAACCAATTTTAATGTGAACATGTTCATGTGGGTAATAAAGGTCCAAAATACCATATGTTTTTAGATTTTCAAAGGTTAAATTATTTGATTCATGTGAGGGATCTAAATGTAAGTGCCACAATAATTTATGAGTATTTATTAAGGTTGTCGATATAATGATATTAGGTTCCAATTTCCAAGCAAGTTAGGAAACAAAAGTCTAGGTCTATATAAAGAGACTATGAAAATTAAAACTTTCATTTTTTTTTTTCGAACGGCAAGCTGGCATTAACAGAAAACTAGCCAGTGGCTAGGAGGTACAAAACTTTGAAAGGAAAAACAGACAAGAAAAAGGAAACAAAACAAACAATACAGACGGAGAATTGGCTACATTCTAGTGTAACATTCAAGAACGGGATCACAACACCAGTCAACCCACCTCAGGGGTACACCCTTTCTTTTCCTCGCATTAAACCAGAACACGGACATAGATTGTACCTCATAAGCCAGCACCTAGTGAGATTTAACACCTGAGGAGTGTGCCTTCAAGTTCTGAAAACTCCAAACCACCCACAGAAATACTAACATGATACCTTCGTGGATGCTTGGCAGCCTCTAATTATATTTATTTTTGAAAAAATTAGCATTGCACCTTTGAATGAAAATATAGTCGTATCATCTTGATATTGTTTATGATAGTTATGAAGTTTGTTTTAGTAGATACTTAGTAGAGAATAAAGACATGTAACATCCCACAGTTATGCACAAGAAAGTTGCACACATGAAGATTACAATTTGATATCAATATATATATATATATATATATATATATATATATATATATTCCAACAATATTTAAAAGGTACAACACATTGTTGTAGGTCGAATAGATTGTGGCACCGTTCAAGGTATTTCTGTAAGTCCTCGAAATGGAATAATGACGGACAAGATTTTTATCCAAAAATTAATTGGCCGTGTATTAGCAGATGATATATATATATATATATATATATATATATATATATATATATATATATATATATATATATATATTCGCGAAGTATTGCTACTAAAAATCAAGATATTGGGGTTGGACTAGTCAGTAGATTCATAACTTTAAGAGCACAATCAATCTCTCTTCGAACCCCCTTTACTTTTAGGAGTACACCTTGGATTTGTCGATAAAAAAGATTTCGGTTATAATTTTCCGTGCGATGACCTAGGAAGAGGCGTTACTTGTGATATTTTGGCTTGGGACGCATTTTATTTGACAATTTTTTGGATATTAAATTACTCGAAATAATAAAATTTTGATTCCATACAAGATTTGTCAAACCACAAATTTTTGGTTTGGAAATCTTAGTTCTCCTCTCAAATTTATATATTTAGAATATGTTAGGTCATATAAATGAAACTTAATGATTTAATAAAAATAAAGTAAAAACCTAAAAGACCTTGATTTTTCTCATTCTAGACATTATTTAAATACTTCAATTGTAAACTTTTGCCTACTAAAAAACTTGAGTCTTTTCTTAGTTAAACTCGAGAAAAAATACACCTAAATTCAGTATTTAAATTCGAATCAAATTACTAGTAGATCTGTTAAAAGATACATGGTTTTTTATACGTTTATGATATTTTCAGTTTTAAGATATAATTAAAATCATACATTTACTCACCTAATTGTTTTATGCTAACAACTATTTGGGGTAGCCTTTGCTACCCCTCAAAGTTTTTGGTGTAGTGAAATTTTCGAGAAATTTTTCGCCATAATATAATTTTCCAACATGGTGTCTCTATAAATTATGTGTGCTACCTTTGATATTTTCTTCTGGGTCTGTCACTATGTAACATATTCTTAAATTATATCCAATTTTATATATTTAGCTAATAATAAAATATTTTAATAAATAAAGTTGACTTTTATTTTTTAATTTCGAACAAAACAAATACATTTTAAAGTAAACGAGTACAATAGAATTTATATGAGTAGGAAAAGGAAACACATAAGAAAGCTTGGGATAGAAAGTGAAAGAAACATAGACATAAGGTAGCAAATGAAAACTAAAGGTACTCAAAATAAATTTATGTGATTATAAAAGAGAAATATTGATTTTCAGTGGGTTAGTTACCAAATTGATGGCTACTTTGTGGATAGTAAAAAATATTACACTAATTTACGGGATATCATATGTAAATATGGCTAAATTTGTTTTTTATTTTATTTTATTTTATTTTTAATTTTGATTTTTAAAACTTACATTATATATAACATTTCATAGAAAAACTAATAGAAGTTGACTCTTATAAATATTAAATATTATAATGTGTATCATTTAAGCAAACTTTTAATAGAAAATTTATGATCATGTCAGATAAAATCAGCCCATTTTTTTAATTTTCCTGACTAATTAAAATTCTCAATGTCCACTGTCAGTTATAAATGTGATAACAAATGGAAGAAGAAGAGGCTGCCACTTATGAGTTATATACGACTATTTAATGATATTTGATATAACATTCTATTTATCTTTTATATTGAATAACAATAGTATTATTTTTGATCGGTTCTAGTGTGTTCTACAGAAGTTAATAAACTCATAACTTTATTATGTTTTTGTTTTTTATTTCCTCAATGTAGTTATTATTATTATTATTATTATTATTATTATTATATAAGTTGTGTTTGACGGTTCACAAATAGTTTATTTTTCTGAGTTTTTTAAACTATTATTTTAGTAAGCAAAAGATAGGCTTTTTTTTTTTTTTAAATACACCTTTAATTAGTTAAAAAAACAAATTTTTTAAAATATTTTTATTTCATTAGATATTTTGAGCTAACTTATCATTTATTTTTTTTACTAAATATCATGTTAGCTTATAAGTTAACAACTAGTTTTTTTAGTTAACAAATAGCTTTTCAGCTATCATCTAGGTTTTCAGATAGTACGTTAAATATAATCTTAATAATTTTTTATCATAAAATATAAATAAAATTAATTTTAGAACCCAAATTTTATTATCTTTAAAGGGTTTTTCATATATTTAAGCAATTCTTAACTTTTATATATATATATATATATATATATATATATATATATATATATATATATATATATATATATATATATATATATATGGCGTTAAATACTGAAAAAAAGTATAATTTCAACTGAATACATTTTTTTTTGCATTCCATTATACTTTGCCTAAATCAGTTTACCATTAATATTTTACAAGTAAATGCACATCTTTTCATTAAACAAAATTGTGAACATCTTATTAAAGAAATTCAAAAGGCAAAATCTGTACTTCCACTCACCACAAACAAAAAGAAGCCAGAACAGCTGGTTCATAATGTATATTATATAAAGGTAAAATTAAAAACCCAAATTACTAAAGATTTTAATTAACTTAGTGTTAAAGAATACAATAAAACTTTTATGGGTAGTTACTTTTATTCATGAATAATCAAAAGTAATAGCCACTTTTTACTATTTATATAAAATACATATTTTTATTATGATAAAATTTCAATTTCAATTAATTTCATTAGAATTCAACCTACTTATATATCAGTCCAACCTCATTTCACTTGATAAGCAATCTTTCATTTCCTCTTGATTATAGCATAGCCATGGAGAATGCTTCTTCACCTTCACCACCACAAAAGCCTACCACCCTTTTAACTTTCCCTAAAGCCTTAGCAACCTCTTCTTCAAAGATCAAACATGTCATAGTGGATTTTGCAATCAAAGCTAAGAACATAGGGGTAGATGACCCTAGAAGAATTGTGCACTCATTGAAGGTAGCATTAGCGATTACTCTTGTCTCAATGGTTTACTATCTCCAACCACTCTACAATGGAATGGGCGATGCTGGAATGTGGGCTATCTTAACTGTGGTTGTTGTTTTTGAATACACCGTAGGTGAGTAGTTTTTATTGTAATTTGATTTGTTTTTGAATAGGTAAACGATTTTATTAAAGAACTGGTAACAAAAAGTACAAAATATTACATATATGGATTCACTAACCAACTAAACATTCTTATCGGCTTTCGGTCTTTTACACGCATACACAATCCAAAAATAAGAACTATCAACATTGTAATTTAGTTAACGTAGCAAGTATTTACCAATATATTAAATTGTAAATGTTCCTATTTTTAAAATTTTGGTTCATTTTCACTAGGTGCGACTTTATGTAAAGGAATGAATAGAGGTCTCGCGACGCTACTAGCTGGTGCATTAGGCATCGGTGCTGAATCCTTTGCTAGCCTCTTCGGGACAACCGCTAAACCCATTGTTCTTGGTTGTCTTGTCTTCATATTAGGTAATATGCTTGTTTTAGCATGTTTGTTTGTATACATGCATGCATTAGATATATATACAACTTATAACTTTATTATATTTAATGTGAATTTTGATTTTTAAACTTATAATACAGTTGGTGCTGCCACCTTTTCAAGATTCATTCCCAACATTAAAAGAAGATACGATTATGGGGTTCTGATATTTATCCTGACTTTTAGCCTCGTATCTGTATCGGGTTATCGAGTTGAAAGAATCATAGAGCTTGCTCATAAGCGATTATCAACCATTCTTTTCGGTGGTGCAACTTGTATCATCATCTCCATGTGTGTTTGCCCAGTGTGGGCTGGTGAAGATCTTCATCAACTCATTGCTGAAAATTTGGAAAAGCTTGCAAATTTCCTAGAAGGTTCGGCAATTTACTTTATAAATGGTTAATTTTTTTAAGTTTCTTTTTATTTGTTATAAATACAATTCAATAGAACGCTAATTAACAGATGTTTTATAGGATTTGGAGGTGAATACTTCAGAATAACAGAAGGTGACAAACCATCGCTTGCATCTTATAAAAGCGTCCTTAATTCTAAAGCCACTGAGGAATCCCTGGTACTATATGCAATCTTTTTAGTTTTCTAATTAGAGGGGTAATTATAAAAATGGCTATGATATGATGATATGCTACTGAGGAATCCCTAGTCGTTTTTATAGATTAGAACAAAATAAACATAAATAAAAATTAACAAAATAAAATTTATCATCATTTTGGTGTAAGAGAATAGTATAGCACTAAATTTAATGTTATAATATTCATTTACCAAAAACTTGTTCAAAAAATAAAACGTTTGAAGAGGAATTTACACAGAAAAAATACAGTGAAAAATGAGATTTGGGACTCGGATATATGAAACAAAAGACACAACTAGCTCCAAAAAAATTTATATCCCTTTAGGTAAAGTAATCAAATTTTGCAATTTCTTTTAAAAAAGTAATGGTTTTTATTGTTTTTGAACAACATATGGTCATTAAATTCTGTGAGTAGCGTTCTTTTAAAATATGCTATATATGTATGTAGTAGATGAATAATTAATCAAAGTATATTTGTAAGCAGGCAAATTTCGCATGGTGGGAAGTAGGACATGGAAAATTTCGATTTCGTCATCCATGGAAACAATACCTGACGATCGGAGCATTGACACGACAATGTGCATACCATATTGAAGCTCTTAACGGATACCTCGATAAAAAAACTGAAGTATGAGAGATCTGTGTTTCATATATGCATATTACTTATACTAGTAAAAAGATTTCATTATGTCTTGCTTAGTTGCTCAATAATGTGTTAATGATGTTACAGGCTCCCTCAGAACTTCAGAAAACAATTAAAGAACCATGCATGAAGATGAGCTCTGAAGTAGGAAAGGCCATGAAAGAATTAGGGTTGTCGATAAAACTAATGATGCATCCTTCTGGTTCTGCATCTGCCATTCATATGGAAAGTTGCAAAAAGGCGAAAGAAGAACTCAATACGATATTACAAACTGTAATGGTGGGAGAACATGATATCAGTGAAACCATACCCGTTATCGCCGTCACTTCAATACTAGTTGACATCATAAAGCGCGTTGAAACAATTTCAGAGGCCATTGAAGAACTTGCTAAACAAGCCCACTTCAAAAAATCCAAGAATACTAAATTAGACAAAAAAGAAAAACCGAACTTTCCTAATGATGGTGGACCTCCAGATCCTGCTAATGGTGGAAAGAATAGAGAATCTGTCGCTATAACTGTTGCTAGTCTTAACAGAGGATGAAAACTCACAAGAAATGAAGATGGATAAAAGTAAAAGAGTAATTAGTGAACTAATATATATATATATATATATATATATATATATATATATATATATATATATATATATAATATAATATAATGATTCCCGACTAATTTATATCATGTTGGGATGATGTATTGAGGACTAATGTACTAACATGAATTTTGTTAAAATTTTAATAAAAATATGTGTTAAATGGTAAACTGTTTCTATTTATATTATATAACCGTTATATTATTGTTATATAAATACATATAAAATCTATTGCTTCTACTTTAGCTTCTTGTAAGTACATGTTTTTTAATATATTATGCGGTTTTAAAAAAAAATTAAAAACAATCTATAAAATCTTGAAAAGGAAAAATATTTTGAGGTTTGCCTAAAACTCCATTAGAATAATAACCAGAGGAGCATATCATCGTATAGGGGTGTCCAACAATATCCGCTATCCGATATCCGTTCCGAAAATCCGAAAATCCGATCCGAAATTTATCCGAATTTTTGGATATCCGGAATTTCGGATATCCGAAACTCGGATATCCGAATTTTCGGATTCGGATACAGATACTGATTGTAGACATTTTCGGATATTTCAGATATCCGATATCCGAAATTTATTTATTTATCAAATAGATTATAATAGCCCCTCGTTTATGTTTTCATTCGTTTACTCTTTTAATCCCCTTAATCATTGTTATATAATAATTTTGTTATCTTTTTAGATGGAAGGATATTTTTCTATTTATTTCTTTGTTAATCTTTTGAAACCACGATATCAGTTTGTTTGCAAAATTATTTTCTAGTTTATATTCAAAGTTTTGTAACGTTAACTTAGTTTATTTGAAAAGTTAATTATTATCTTCAATTTATCTGCAAAGTAATAACTTACGAACAAGAAAGACTTATGTAGTCATTTTTCTTTTCTTAATATAATATTTGCATAGTGCATAGTTTATAAAATTAGCAGCTGCAATATGCAAGAAAGTATCTTTTGCTTATAAAGTCACTGTGAGGATGAATTAATATCAAATTACATAATGCTTCTCTTATTTATTTATTTTTATTAATTTTATTAGGAAGTCAATGGTGTGTTAATTTCTTTTCCAAAAGTAAACACAAAACATCAATGAAAGGAAATTCATATTTGCAAACCACGAATTTCGAATATCCGATTTAATATCCGAATCTGTATCCGAATTTTCGGATATCCGAAATTTCGGATACGAATTCAGATATCGAAAATATACTATCCGAATTTTCGGATACAGATACCAATTCGGATATCCGGTTTTGAACACTTCTAATCGTACTTGACAATTTGGTCCAAAATATTTTAGTGTTCCACGATTGATATTTTATATAGGTCCTTGTAACGGATAATGTGAGTTATCTAGATGATGCAGTTTACTACTTTTTAGTTTCGAATTAAATATAATAGAAGGTAAACAAAAGAATACTAATCTTTTTGATAAGATTTTTTTTTCTTTTGTGGGCTATGAATAAAAACCAAAAGTATAATGTTTATTATTTGATTATTATTATTTCTTCTATATAATTTGTTATTTTTATTTTAGAATATTGCTAATTAATAAAATTTCTTCATTCTAAAGAAAAAAAACATACTAGATCGCCATTTTAAGAAACTAGTTTTGGTGCTTTTGGATCGCATAAATATTAAAAGCTCAGGTTTCTACAAATGCAACCTTATATCCAAAAAGGGAAAAAATTTATATGCAACATTTTTCATTGCAAACATTCTGCTCTTCCTTTATTTTTACTTGTTTTCTAACTAACAGCCAATTTTATCATAAATAGCAACTAGGCTTCACAAAACAAAATACATAATAAAAAGTTCATCAAGTTAACTATGGACCTTTTAGCCAATCTAACCTACACATCTTAAATTTTGAACAAACAACTAGAAATCTTTGAAAATGAAATCATAAAGAACAGACTGAAACAAGGCTTCTGCATCTTCCCATCCCTGCAAGAGGATGTTATCTCGAAAATATAGTAAGAATTGCCAAATGGACCATTTTTTTCTTAGCCGGTTGTAAATAAAAACCATCCACCATTGAAAGAAAAGACATAAGGCCCATAGTCCGAGAGATGGAAACACCTCACTAAACACAACTCTTTTACCAGAGTGCTTGAACATAGCTTCTACTTGTTGCTAGCAAGATCCCGCCGAAACATTTTTATAATTCTGCAATTTGGGTTTAAGTCGGATTCACTTTGAGTTAATATCATTAAGTATAACAAAGTTTCAAAGTTGTATATACAACTTTTTTTTGAAACGGCAGATTTAAAGTCCAGAGGGTGCTTAGCGGGGAAGGTGGTGCGGGGCTCGGAACCGCAGCCGGAACACAACACTGGCGCTGCGGGGAAGGTGGTGCGGGATCGGAGTGGAGGCTACCTCGCCCCCTCTCTCTTCATTTCATTCGTCGAATTTTTTTTCTTTTTCTGATTTCCAACAGTAACATAAAGAAAAAACATTTTTCCTTTTTTTTTTCAATGGCTACAACAATAAATTTTTGAAAATTAATTTTTTTAATACATTTACCAATCTATAAACACCAAACAAACCTAACATAATTTTCACACTTATTTCTACATATTCTCTAAAAAAACTCACTCAACCACAATGTCGTCATCGTCATCTTCGTCATCCGATTCGAGGCCGCAAGAAGATGCATTATTTGTCGGTTCCGTTATGGAAAAAACAATGATGTATATCCGAAACCGACAATGTCAAAATTCATGTTCACGACCTCAGACAAGAAGACCTCTGTTGAGGAGAAATTGCAAAGCCATACACAATCGTTTTACAGAAGGCTATTTTGCAGATGATGCCATATACGTTGAAAAGTTTCAACGGTGGTTGCGGATGAGGAAAGAGTTATTTTTACATATCGTTGGCGATTTGGAAAGCCGATTTCCATATTTCCATTGGAAGCGGGATGCGAGACGCGAAAAAGGTTTTTCTCTAATTCAGAAATGCACAACCGCAATTCGGCAGTTAGCATACGACACGGGAGCAGATAAATGGGATGAGTATTTGAGGATGTCCAAGCATACCACACGAGATAATGCATACAAGTTCACGAAAGCTATTGCTTTGGTTTACGGGCAATGATATTTGCGCAAACCAACCATTAACAATGTCCACTAATTGTACACGGTGTATGAAAATAAGCATGAGTTCCTGAGAATGCTAGGTAGTATCGATTACATGCAATGGTCTTGGGCATGTGCCCAAACACATGGTGTGGTCAATACATGTGAGGCGATCATAGAGAGCCGACGGTTGTTCTAGAAGTAATCACATCACATAATCTTTGGATATGACATGCATTCTTTGATCCAGCTAGTGCAAACAACGACATCAATGTTCTAGACCAGTCACCGGTATTCAACGACATCTACCTTGGAAAGTCGCACGATGTACCGTTTGAAGCAAATGGGGTAACATATAAGCGCAAGTATTATCTTACTGACGAGATATATCCTACCTTATCTATTTTTATGAAATCGTTCACATGTCCGAACGACGAAAAAAGAAAAAAGTTTAAGCATGCATAAGAATCAGCTAGAAAGGATGTGGAGCAAACATTTGGTGTACTCAAAAGGCATTGAAAAGTACTGCAAGTCGGGGTACGGTCATATGAAGTGAAAAGGTTACAACACATAATGTATGAGTACATCATATTACATAATATGATTCTAGAAGATGAAAGAAGAACGATATGCTGATACGACGAAAGCGAAGTTTTGCCAAACGTCGAAGGAGTGGCTGTTGGTATGCAAGAGTATAGGGAAAATAGAAGATAAGTACATGATCGCGACATTCATCACTCCCTCCGTGCGAATTTGGTGAAACACATTTACAGGGCTCACATACAGCCCCAAACAAAGTATTTGCACGATGATTTGTTTGAAGAATCAGATGAAAAATTGGATATGTTCGTCGAAAACTCTGGTGAGGATTCAGATGACGATGACGAGGATGACGATGTCGAGGACGACGACTCGGATTGACACATTTGTTTTTCAAATTCGGATATTATGTAATTTCTAATTATGTTTTCTAGGTCGTTTTTTTTAAATCTAGGTTGTATTTTTTTAATCTTGGTTGTTTTCTATATTTTTTTAATCTTGATTCTTTTTTTTATCTACCTTTTAAAGTAATGAAGTATTTTTATTTTAATTAATTTTTAAGTTTATTAATCATTTTTAAGGAATTATATTTATTTTTTGAATTATAAAGCTGTTACATCCCAAAAATACAAATAAAAATATTGTTTTAAAATTCATTCCATTCATAAGCAACTGATACCAAAGTATTCAAAAGAGTCACATTGTATCATAATATCATAGTACAAATCCCAAAATCACTAAGTGCGGAAAAACATGGAGTGATGCGGTGCGATCAAGCCGGACTCTTCCCCTTCGAACTAGAAGTACCTGAAACATAAACTGAAAACTATAAGCACAAAGCTCAGTGAGTTCCCCCAACATACCACATACTAATCAAACATACTACACAAACATACTGAACAAACATAGTGCCAAGCATATCTTGGTGCTGGTCTGACCCTTCAGTCTATTTCAACCGGATACTGCCAAGCATATATGGGTGCTGGCCTACCCCCTTCGGTCTATCTCAACCGGATACTACCAAGCATATCTGGGTGCTGGCCTACCCCTTTGGTCTATTTCAACCGGATACCGGGTCTATTTCACCCCTACCACTACCACATAATATCATAACAGTAATCACCGAGTCATCATACAAATACACACATGACTGACAATTATCACAAAGGCAATCATCATGTTATAACATAACTAGTGGACCGGCCTCGGTGCCTTCGATCCACAACTACTGTGAAGGAAGACTCACCTCAGACTGTGGGTATCAAATCGCCCTCGGCGGATGACTCGCGAACTCCTCTCCCTATCGCACAAGCACAAAACCC